ACTGTACTTAAAAAAAAATAACACATCCCCTGAAAATAAGCCCTAGGGTGTCTTCTGGAGAAAAAATAAATATAAGACCCTGTCTTGTTTTCGGGGAAATATGGTAGTAGTTGTATGACTTTGGGCAATTTCTGAACTTGAGCAAGGCTTGGTTTCCTCACCTGGAAAATGGGGATAATAATGATCACTGCACATGTGTGTTGCGAGACTTAAATGAGATGATGAAAGAACAGAACAACCTCTGGTATGTGAACAGCGTGAGAGCAAGTACTTTGCCTCTTCATTGCTGTATTTCCAGTGTTTAGAACAAGGATGAAAAATGGTCGGTGCTCACTAAATATGTATTGAATGAATTAATGAATAAATCAATTAATAAAACAAAAGAATCCCTCTCGCAGAGCAATAGTGATATGTCTATGGACAAAGGCAGAAGTTCTCAAGTCTGGCTGCACGTTAAAATCGCTTGGGGAGCTTTTAGAAAATACCAATGCCAGCCCCCCATCCCAGGATCTCATTTATTGGTTTGCATTCAGCCTTTAGCACTGGGATTTATTTTTCCATAGCATGTATCCCCTTCTAATATGCTATTTAATCAGTACATATACTATATAATCTTATGGTATATATAATATACTAATTGTAATAATATAATAGTGGCTATTGCATTTTTTGTTTAGTCTGTCTCTGCCCTCTAGTATGTAAGATTAGTGAGTATAGAGTTTTTTTTATGCTTTGTTTCCTGACATATCCTAAGTACCTAGAACGTATTTGACACCTAGTAGATATTTAATAAATATGTGAGAAACGAATGACCAAGGTTCATGATCCAAATAATTTGGAGGTGGCCTACTTTTTTTTTTTTTTTAAAGTAACTGATTTCACTGCTCAAAAAAAGATAAAAGTTCAATCAGTTGGTAGTAGGAGGTGGATTAGAAGGAGGGGCTGTCCCCAGAGCTGGTGGGCTCTATAGAAGGGATACCCCCCATCCTCGGATGAGTCCTTGGCAGGAGTTAGATGAGGGAGAGCCCAGGTAAGTCTGGGGAAAGTTCCAGAGCAGGGATGTTGTGCTTTTCTTCCTAGGCGAAGTCTGAGGAAACAGAAAGCCTCTTAGACCTAGGGCCTCCCGCACCAATGGGCTTCCATTGAAATGTCGGAGTGGTTCGTGTGAACAGAGAAGTGTTGACCACCTGCTATCATCAAGTTTCCTGGTTCCTGAAGTTGTGTGGAAGAGTAGAGAAAGTTTTCTGTGCCCTTGAGAGGGGGTGAGGAAGTGGCCGAGGATGGCCAGGGACCTGAGTGGCCTTGTCGTCCAGATAACAGGGATCCAGGTGCCAGCTCGGCTCAGTGCCCAGAGAGTGGCAGTAGTGTGGTTGGTGCCTGAAGAGTAAAGACATCTGGCCAGTTATATTACTAACAGTAGTAGACATAGCATGTGACCAGGACAGACTGAGACGGGGAGAAGATGCCCTCTCTCAACAGGGCAGCTGCTTGAGCCTCCATGAATAACCTCTGGGCCAAAAAAGAAAAAGAAAAAGAGTTAAAAGCTAAAAGCAGAGGTTGAGAACTTTGGATTAAGTTTTCCTCGAAGTGCTTAGACTAAGTTTTCTGCTTCAGGTGGAATGGGGTTTGAGAGTTAAGGTAGCCAGAGTTATAGGGAAACGATTTTTACAAACATTTTTTAAGTCATCTGTTTTTGTACACTTGAGTTTGTGATTGCAAAAGTATACCTGTACAGTAGCTGTCTCATCACTTATTATTGTTATGCACTTGGCCCGTCTTTGTGTCCAGGTCAGTGGCTGTGTACGGGGTGTAGTCTGCACAGCCTCGTGATCATCGGGAGAATGCTCACTCACGGGGCACGCGTGGAGTCCTCATCACATGGCCCAACGCTGAAAACTCCTGCCCACGTGAGCTTCTTGGGACTTGGACTTGGGAAGATCTCACCACTGTAATTTCTCCAATAGCAGCTTGGTGAACTGTCTCTGTGTTGTGTCTCAATTTCCCAGCCCATTTATCGAGTCTGTTTGATGTCTGTGGCCAACCCTTCCTCAAACGCCAGGACGGCCTTGGAGCCCACAGACAGCTGCAGGGAATTGGACTGGAGCCCAAATGTGACTCTAGAAGAATAGTAAGCTGGTCTCTTCTGTGAACACAGATCTGACCTGAAAATCTTCAAGTTGTTTCAAGATTCAACTCCTTACCTCGGTATTTAAGGCATTCTTGCAGATAAGTACAAGAATCTCCAAACATTCCCTTGAGTACACGGGAAGCTCTTTTATTTTCTGTGACTGCGCGGCTCTTTCGGCTGTCTCTGCTGTCTTTTGCATCTACTCCTTTGATCACTGAGCTCCCTACTTCATCTTCCCACTCCTATTCACTCTTCACATCCTGGGTCCAATGTCGCCTCCTTTCTGAAACTTTCCTAACTCACCTGGGCTCAGTCCAGGGGCTCCCACAGCATTTGATACTCACTTTCTCTAAAGCACTCTCACATTGTACTCTGTCTGTTTTCCTACCTGTTCCTCCACGAGTCTATTCAAGGATAAGGGTGGTATCCAATTCATTTTGAATTATTCCCAGCGTGCCCTGCATCTTCCTGCACGTGTGTGCGCGCGCGTGCATGTGTGCATGTGTGTCTAGAATCTCCTGGGAATCACACAGCCTTGGAGTCTTTCGGTGGAATATAATATGACATGATCAGGTCATATTGATCATGTCATATTCCACGTCACATTCCAGAAGGGTCTTCGAGCACAATCTCTTTCACATTCAAGTCCCATCGAGGAAGCCTTGTTCTGGAGACCCTACATGAGTTGTTCCCAGAGTGTGGCGCCTACTCTAGCAGCGTCAGCATCACCTGGGAACTTGTTAGAAATGCAGTCTCAGGCCCCACCCCAAACCTACTGAATCGGGGACTCTGGAGCCGGCCCCAGCGCTGTGTTTCTTCCACTCTCCAGGACATTCTGCGCGTGCCACCCCCGCCTTGCACCCAATGGAGGTATCTCTGTGGTTACCACCACTGGGAGTTGGGGGCTGGCAAGGAGTGGGGGGAGGGCGGAAGGGGTGGGGGAACGAGCCTATTCCGCAGTGCCTTTCACTGAGATTGGGGCTGGAGTGAAAATCTCCTTGGGAAAGTGTGTGTCATTCCCCTGTCCCCTACCTGTTGCTGTCCTGACAGGTTTTGACGTCTCAGCATTTTCCCTAAAATGAGAGCCCCCTGAGGAGGCACGATAGAGTCATACCCTGTCTCCACGGATAGGGTCCACGCCAATGCTTTGGTGGATGAAGTGAGAGCTTCGCGGCGAGGGGACTGGCAGGCTGCTGGGGGTTCTCTGTTGTCAAGGCAGCGCCCGGCTCGCGCGGCCGACGGGCTCGGAGGGGGAAAGTGGGGCAGCGCCACCACCCCAAGGACGCGAGCTGCGGCACTCTTGACAGGCAGGGGACAGGGAACTGAATGTTTTAGTATTTTATAAATCATTTGGAAGAAATTATGTTTTATTTATGTTCATTTTTGAATGTATTTGAATTTTTATTGCAGATATTTTTCAGAGATGCAAGCTTTGGAGGCAATCCTGGGGGAACAGACACCTCAAAAGTGTGTGGCAGGGGCCCACCCCATTGGCTTGAGGGGGGTGAAAATTATTCATGTTTTAAAGAAAAGTCTGAAGTTGGCTTTCAAAGGGACCCAATCTGAAGGAAACTCAAAAGTTTTAAACCGTGACTGTGAAGTGTCTGGTTTATTTTTAAGAGGAAGATTTAGTAGAAGTGAGTCACGGTGCCTCCTGAGTGACGTGGAGGGAAAGTCAAACTGAGAAAAATAGAAGGAGGAATCAAGGATGGATCTCGATTAAATGGGTTGATTCCTTGCATGGACCACGTCACTGGTTGCTTTTTCAAAATTCCCCTTCTCTGGTATAATGGAGGCTGCAGTTGTATCCACTGGAACTCAACTCGGGAGAGCCAACCCTTACAGCACCTTTGTCACCAGTGCAGATCCTCAGGGCCACTCCCCAGTGGGGCTCATTGGGTGGCCATAGGCATCACACAGCGAAATGGGCCAGAATGATTGTACTGTACGTGTTTCAATGAGCTCTATTTTCTGCAGATACGTCCCACTCCTACTGGAATGGCAAAGGACTTGGATGCTGTCGAAACTAAAGTGAATACAGACATACACATTTTTCATTCTGTGATTGTGCTTCTACACACAGAGTTGTTTTTCTCAGTTTTTGCAAGAATGTTGAAGTTAGCTACATAAATGTCCATAATGGTATGAAGTTAGTCAGGGGGAAAAATATGTTCCCAATAAATGAAGAATGACAAATGGAGACAAGGAGCATTTCTTCTCCAATGTACCACTGAAACAGGACATAGGAACATATTTTAGGGTAAAAAAGATGCATTCAATGCCAGGTGGTGGTACTTTTCTTATATCTAATTTTACAGCTCTCTTTATTATGTGACAAGATGTGATGATACAATAAAAAAAAAATTGGTCCAGAAAGAAGATAATGCTTCTGGGCTGGAAAAGCGAGAGTCAAGAACATTTTTGTTGGTGAATACTGTAAATTAAAAGGTTTTAAAAGGCATTTTGAGTAACAATGTGAGCTGCCATTTATTGATGGTCACGGTGTAACACCAGAACGTGGTGTTTATTCTCGGGTTCATTGGACCCATATTTATTGGGTTACTAAGGTGTGCGAGGCACTAGTGTCGGGCTGTGATGGTTAACAAGCCAGGCCTGTGTATCTATTCACACACCTTGTTAAAGTGCGTGGCTACTAACTATAGCTCACAGCTGAGAAAACTAAAGTTCAAGGTCACTAAGTCAGAAATCTTCAACTCTGCTCTAGTGGTTGAATCACTAGGGGCTCTGCTTTTGCAACATACTGATGTCCAGGCCCTGCGCTAGACTGGTTAAGTCAGAATGGCCAATTATGGGGCAGAAGATCAGAATTTTCTTTTGAAGCTCCCTCCGGGGTTCCGAAGTGCAGCCAGGGCTTGGGAGCCCCGCTTCGTGGGCACACTGGTCTGTCACAGCGTCCAAGCCACGCGGTCAGGCGATCATGGCACTTCGAGGCTGGGTAACAGGTTGGTCACGTTTTGCAAGGCCGGCTCTCATCAGCAGGAATGTGCTCCGAGGAGCTCATCGTTTCTCAGCACAATCTGCTTTCAGCCTCTTTGGTTCTTGAAAAGTCTTGTCAAGGCTCCTAGCCGGAAGACAAATATGTGATCCTCTGAAGGCTTTTCACTTAATAGACTACTACCCACCATGCAGCACGTGTGTTTTGTAATTTCACTTAAGATGTTTGTTATATTTATTGCAGCCATAGGAGCGGCGCAGATAGCGCAGAGATGGATACACGGCGCCGAGGAAGCCTCCCAGGGTCCTCTCCGAGGATAGCAAGTTATCGCTTTGTTTTCAAATAATGCAGTTGGTAATAAGTTTTTGGATGTGTGTGAGCTGTAAATCGTTCTGAAAATTGAACTGAAGATACAATATCGTAAATCTCTTCCTTGGTGGTAGAATATTTATGGGGAGAGCAATATAATCAGTTACGTGGCTGTGCTGTGTCTGACACCTGACTGAAGGGGACCCTGTACCGAGGATCTATCACCTGTTAGACAATCCCTCCAGGTGAGCGTGTGTGTGGAGCTTGGAGGACTATTTTCAATGGGGACAGTCAGATAGGCCCTTATTAAAATAAATCTGGAATGCATTGGTGGAGCGGGTGAGGACGCCGGCGCGCACGGCTGGGCAGGGCGAGCAGATGCAGGAGGTGCTTCGCCTTCCTGGGGCAGCTGCTGCTCCTGGTTGCTGTGTAATGTGGTTCCCTGAATCGATGCTTGTGTACTCTGGGAACTCACAATCCTAAGAAAGTGCACGTTTTATTAGATTTGTTCTGCAACTCATTATCATCGCTGTAAATACCTCCACGTGGAAAGTAATGAAATCAAACCCAAAGAAGTCGAGGTGTCACAGCAAGCAGCGAGAAGTGAAGAGTCAAGCCAGCATTAGACAACATCCTCATGGGTTTTCTTTTGGATGGTGACAATTATTTAAAAGAAAAAAAACCTGCAATCATGATTTGATGGTTTTCAGACTTTTTCCTTTTGGTTTGTAGGGAAACACTTTTTTCAAACAAAATCTGGTTTGCAGCCCCATTTTATAAAACAGATTCAAGGCTGAAGTTGGGGAAGTGACCCAGATCTTTGTCTATGTGGCCCCCAGTGTCATCTCCCTCCAGGGCCCCCTACGCACCCCCATGACCCGAGGGCGTGCGGATCACAGTTCTATAACCCTGACCTAGTCCAACTCTCTGCTCTCATAGATGAGGAAACAAGTCCAGAAAGATCCAACTTTCAGAGACGACAGGCACAAGGATTCTTGAACCCATTCTTGTGCTGTTCCTGTTAAATCAGGCTGCCTACTGACATCGAAGGGTGTGGTCACTTTTGGGTGAGATAATGCATTTGTCCAGGCAGTGTGATTGATCTCACCTCCTTCAAGTCTTTTCTTTAAATTTCCTTTTCCTAATAAACTTTATCCTGATTACTCCATTTAAAATTATAGTCCTCCCCCTGTTTCCCTATACTTCTTAAAACGTTCTCTATATTTTTTCATAGCATTTATCACCTCCTTACCTATGATATCATTTCTTTTTGTATATTGTTTGACCCCTGCTTGCCCCTACTAGAATCTAAGCTTCATGAGAGCAAGGAATTAAAAAAAAAATCTCTTGTTCACGGATGTATCCCTAGTATCTAGAACAGCGTCTGACTCATAGTTGATGCTCAATATCTATTTGCTGAATAAATTGATTTTATGAACACTGATCATAGACTAATGAGGTGGTGTAGGTTGCTGTAACCATCTCACTCATACTATGTATTAGATTTGATTGGGGCACAGAGAAGGCTCAGGGAATGTAATTAACTCACTCGTATTCTCCCTTCAAGGGAAAGGTAATGGCCCTCCGGGGCAGCATTCCTCTAGGGAGCCCTGTACGCTTTGCTTGCAGTAGCCTCTGCCTGCTGGGGAGATGAAAACAGGCCTGGTAGGACTAGGCCAGAGGTGCTTAACTCAGGGAGTCCGTGAACTGGGATGAGGAAAAGACTAGATCTTTGTTTTCATTCACTTCTAGCTGCACATTCGCATTTTCTTCAACTATAAATATAAGCAACTAACCCTGAGAAATGTTGTCAGCAATCGAAACCAAAGAATTTTTTTCATACCACATTATTAATGTTGCAGATATATACAAGTAATATTTTTGCTTATTTCCACTTCAAAATTATGGTCGTTATTACACCTGTCTCTAGATTCTATTATTTGGTGCAATAATAAAGGATCACATATAATATATTGCTTCCAATTGGACTTGGCCAACAGGGCAAGGTCAGCTGACAAGAGAGTAAGGTCAGGGTCTTTGTTCTCCTGGCTCCCTTCCTATGTGGCTGCGGGAGGCTCCAGGCTGCACGTGCTCCTTAAGGCTGTAGCTCCTGTCAGGGGGCTTTCTACAGCCCTCCAGGCCCCTGTAGGGCTGGGGTGGAAATCGCTCTCTGCTGTCGCTAGCCTGCGGTGCTTCACCATTTTTGTTCGTTTCTCTTCATATGCCCCTTACCTTTGTAAGTACTGACTGCATGAAACGCTCCTCAACTACCCCTTTTGAATGTGCCATCTGTTTCCTACTAAGATCCTGACTGCTATAGCCCCAAAGCAGATAGAGTTATGCTCTCCTTTAAATCTCTCCTCTCCTAGGGCACTTTCTGGAGTCTTGGATTTCCCTATTAGACAAAAAGCACCTATTGAGCACTTATTACCTGCCAGCCATTATTCTGGATGCCAGAGAATACGCTATGGACAGGACAGATGACATCCTTATCACCTTGAACTAGAAGAATAAAACTAGCATTTAATGAGTGCTTACCATGTGCCAGGTACTTCTAAAAAGTCCTCTCTTTCCATGTAGTAACTCATTTAATCTATACAACAACCTTATGGTATATATTACAAATAAGAAGACAGAACCACAGAGGGAGTAAGTAAGTCAGGCCGCCAGGAAATACTAATAGCAGAGGGGGGATTCTAAGCCAGGTGGCCTGACTCCAAAGCTGATGCTCTTAAGCACATCACTGTATGGTCTCTTCTTACAAGCTTTAGCAGCCTCTGCAATACCTAGCACAGAGCTGATGCTCAGCATTTATTGGATTGATTAAACAGTCCCTTTAGGAAAGGAAGACAGCATGGAGTTATGCTTTTGGTAGGTTCAACAAAATTTTGATTTCAATAGCTTTCACGAATAGTTTGGTTTTCTTTTGTTTTATTTTCAAGTGTCTGTCTGTAGTAGCAGGTGGTAAGCAATATATTCTCTTTCCCACTTAGCTGAGCTAAATATCTGGTCACATGGCTGGATCTTCATCCCAAACACAATTGTGTGCTCTCACCCTGGGCAGGAGGCAGCGTCTCTTATGACACAGCAATGCTCAGTGGGTAGTATATGCAGCAAATGTTTAGTTACAACAGAGGAGTACCCAACTTGTAATCATTAATAGGAAGTCGTGTAAGAGTTCACCACAGCTGTGACTTCTTCCACTGGTGAATCATTCTGTTTAAAATATAATGTACTCAAAAAGCAGCAAAAACTGTAGTCAGAAATCACTGTAATGGCTTTCATGAAAGCTATTGCTAATTTAGGGCCCAATTAAAACTTGAAATCCAATTATTGCTGAATAACATAATTGCAAGAAAGTAACTTGCATTGCACGTATGTCAGTAATTAAGGAGGAAGCTTTAATAACAGAATCCATCTGAACTATTACAAGGAGGGGCCAAAGAGTCTGAGGATCTGCTCCAGGGTGGGTCAGAGCAGGAAATGCCCCAGCGGTTGGGTGCTTGCGGTCGGCCCTGAATTTTGTAAACATGGTTTGCTTTCATAGACTAGTTCATGGGGGCTTGGTAAGAAGAATGCAGATTTTTAAGAGCAGGAAAAGGTTGATCTCTGGCTCCACATGCTATGAAGCATCAAATACACTGTGAGCCCTGAAAAATTAAATATTGGAAGGTGCTATTTGTTAAATACTTGAGATGCTCTAGAAAGCAGTTGGCAATATAAATGTTAAATGTTGTACCTTTACGGTTCAAACTCTGATTTTGACCTTGGCTTAATTTTACTGCATTGATTCTGCAATGGAGTGGCCATGGTGCTGGGGGTGGGGGGCTGAGCTTGAAGAGCCCCAGGCTGGGCACATCCAGTGTGTGTGAGAGCTGGCTTGGGGGAGGCTGGATTTTGCTGCCGGGCAAATGATATATTTCTCTGCATGTGTATGGTCTGCCAAGAGTGCAGGCAGCAGCTCTCACAGGGCTCCAGGCAGGTGATTTGTTTACTGACTGCAGAAGCTATCGGGTAGTGTGAACTCTCACTGAAACGTGTCATAGTAGGGCTGCTGTTCTCAGATGCGTGCATCAGAATCACCTGGAGGGCTTGTTAAATGCAGATGCTGGACCCCAGAGAGAGTTTCTGATTTGTAGGGCTGGAGTGGGGCCTGAGAATCTGCATTTCTAATAGGTTTCCAAGTGATGCTGATGCTGCTTGCTGGTCTGGGGACCACACTTTGAAAACTGCTGTGGTAGGATAGAAGTGTCAATCAGGTCCTATGAGGAGGAGATGGAGTGAGAAGGGTGAAAGTTGTATTAGACCTGTGTGAGAGAAAAGGGTGGGATCAGAACTGGCTGGGGTTGCTAGACTACGAGGAGGACCTCTCCAAGTCCCCGCCTGCCCATTGCAGAGTTCTGGAGCCAAGACTGCCCAGGGAAGTCCCCACCCTGGCAGAAATGCCAGGCCTTTGGGGCACACAGTCATGTTCAGCCATTGGCTGGGGCCGCCCCTGGAACAGGCTGGTGTTGGCTGGAAAGCTGAGCAGGACCTAGAGGAGTGAACAGCTGAAGACTGTCAGCTGACCACACTCTTCGCATCTGGGCAGTAAGTCTTTTCTTGAAGGCATATCTGGGAGTGCGTTGTTGTGTCTCCCACAGGACTGAGCAGAGAGAGTTACAAAGGTATTTATTTTCTGAACAAGGGGTGACCTTGGTTATGAGACTTGCAGGGAATTCAGCAGCAGTGGCCAGTATGTAAGGGAGGTGCTAGGTCCTGGCAGGACCAGGGTGAGGAAAACTGACCAGATTGAAATAGCCTTGATCCCTTATCATGGGTTTCCAACCCTGAACCCTGGCTGCATGGTAGAATCATTGGGGGAGCTTTGAAAGATACTGACCCCTGCCACAAGATACTGACCCCTGCCCCAGCTAACACCAGGTAGAGAAGAACCATCCATCTGAGCCCAGCCAATGTAATCATTGAGAAAAATAACAAATTGTTGTTTCAAGCCAGTAGGATCTGAGGCAATTTTTTGTGTCACAGTAGATAAATCAAACAATGCTATAAATCGTGTCATTCCAAAATTTTAACATGGGCTAAAGAAAAGAATGATAAACACTGTATAAGCAGAAAAATGTTTTAATATTGGGAATGAAGGTCTTTTTCAGTGTTTTGCCTTGGACATTGTTTAGGATCTGAAAAGAAACGTGCATAGGACACAGAGAACATGAAGCTATATGGGAGGAAGCATCTCTTATCCCTGATTTTGGGGAAGTACAGCTTAAGGGGAAGGTTACTTTAGACAAAACGACTTGCAGTTCTGGCTTTATTACTGATTTACTGCATGAACTTGAGCTGCCTTTGAGCCCCAGTACAGAAACATTTGTGTGGCTGATAATTACCATTACTAATTATTAGGCCCCAGATACATGCCAGTCCTGCATAAGGTGCTGTGCTGCATAAGACTGTACCCTATGAGGGATGGCCTCCTCATTTCAAAGGAGGAAGCATTGGCTCAGAGAAAGTTATAGCTTGCCCCTGAATACACACAGATGAGGGGAGAAGGATGGACACTGGTATTCAATTTCCAGGCAATTGATTCCAAACCTGTACTTTTTCTGCTTTTCTATACCCATGCGTTTACTTCTTCCCTTTTTGGCTGGAGGCAGGTAACAGCCCAGCCATTTGAACAGGTCCTGGTGGGCAGTTGCCGTTCAATGGAGCACATGGGCAGGGGTTCATGAACATCTGCAAAATAACCACAGCACATGCTCTTACTTTAAGCTTATCCATACCTGTCTTTCTCCTCTAGCCAGTTCCTCAGAGTCAATTTTACCTCTCCTTCTCCCTCACCCGCAATCAGGAGCTAACTGCTAGAGATTTTTATTCTGTGCAATGTTTCTCTCCTCTCTTATCTCTGTACCCTTTCTGTCTTTACCCTGGTTTTTGACCTGGCACCATCTTTTTCAAGAAGCTCCTTGTCTCCCTGATCCCCAGTCTCTTCTTCATCCCGTTCATCCTTCCCAAAGCCCCCACAGTTGTCTTCCTGCACACAAGTTCGACAATGTCATTTGCTTGTTTGGAAAACTTACATGACTTTTCATTGCCTGTAAAATAAAGAAAAAAAATAATTAAAAACAAATTTTTAGCATGTGAATAACATGCATTTATGGCTAATGGTAACTATGTTTACTAGCTGAAAGAAAAACCCAAACACAACACAGCATCCAACTTCTATCCTGTTTGGCCCTGCAGGGTCTGAGCTGCCTGGATCAGATGCTGTCTGCCAGGCACAGAGGAGAACTGCTGTCACCCTCACAGTGTAGTCCCAGGTGACTTTGTTAGCTTATGTCCCCCTGCGAGAGGTGAACTCTAGCTTGTGCAGATTTCTGTGAAGCATTTCAATTTTTTTGGACAGAAAAGTATTAATGAAATACGTGCATTGTGCATTATTGTTTTTGCTATTATTATTACCACTCTTGACAGGGAGTACAAGAAACTGGTGCTCACCAGCCTTCCATATGGAGGGAATGGCCCATCTCTGCTTTCCTGTCTCCCTTTGACTTTGATACACACATTGACACTTTATTTATTTTTATTTTTATGTATTTATTTTTGAGACAAGAGTCTTACTCTGTTGCCCAGGCTAGAGTGAGTGCTGTGGCGTCAGCCTAGCTCACAGCAGCCTCAAACTCCTGGGCTCAAGCAATTTTCTTGCCCCAGCCTCCAGAGTAGCTGGGGTTACAAGTGCGTGTTACTATGCCTGACTAATTTCTTCTATTTTTAGTTGCCTGGCTAATTTCTTCTATTTTTAGTTGTCCAGCTAATTTTCCTATTTTTAATAGAGACAGGGTGTCGCTCTTGCTTAGGCTGGTCTTGAACTCCTGAACTTAAGTGATCCTCCCACCTCAGCTTCCTAGAGTGCTAGGATTACAGGTGTGAGCCACCACGCCCAGCCAACACACATTGAAACTTAATTTTCGATAAGACTAGGTTTGAACTAGAACTCACTTCTAACAAATGATGGAAGTCATTTGGTAAAGACCCGGTTCAGGACGTTTTGTTAACCTGGTTCTTCCTCAAACTTCCCAGCAGGGAGGCGCTATGTTAACCAGAGATGTCTTCACTCATACCTTCTCTGAAGCAGGGATGCCCATTTGGATTTCAGTGGTTTTCATGCTGGGCAAGAGCCCCTCCAGTGAGCAGAGAGAACATAGTTGCTGCTAATATCCAGATATTAACGCAGAGCTGGTGTTGCCAAGAAAATATATTAACAATGCAGGACCTTTTAAGTTTTCAACCTTCAAAGAGGACCTGCTCAGGAAGCCCCACCCCTCAGGTTTGTTCCATTCTGTCACAGGTGGGAGTGATGGATGGGAGGAGACCTGTGAACAGGGATGAGAGCGCAAGAATACAAGGTCCTGAATACCTTTGCCCTCAAAAGCAATAGCTGCTAAAGGAACAGCATTTTCCAATGTTTTATAGTCTAATCCAGGTTTCCCCCAGATTTTTCAATGCCAAGAATCTGTTTTATAATCGAAACCTCTCTACCTCTCCCATGTACCCAGGTTTTGAAATATTTTATCTACAAAATGACTTTATTAAGTAATGACTAATATTTATTTGATTAACAACACACGATTGTCAATCAGATGTCTGATGAATGTGAGAGTTGATACAATTGCAGGCAAAAGCAGATAAACTTTTTGTTGTTGTTGCTGGCTTGTGCCGATGTATGGTTTGATTTTTATTGTACTTTTGGGAACATAAAAATACTTAAGGGACCCCACTTCCATTTTCCCAAATTGCTAGAAGTCCAGGAAACCCTGGAATTTATTTATTTTATTAATCTTTCTCTAGATGGGAAGTAACCATCCCGAAATGTTAAAAAGGTTTAAGTGTACAATTTGGGGTCTCATGAAGTTGTGTGTGACTTCTGCTGAACGCTGATCAAAGACAACCCAAAGATAACTGAATTGTGAGCACTTAAAACTTAATCTGTGCCGACCTGTCAGGAGAAATTTATGATTTTATTTCTAGAAATAAGATAAAGAAATGAAATAAAGTCTAATTCTAGTGTGTAAATTAGGGAAATCCACTTCTTCCAGTTTGGTCCTGAATAAACTGCTTTCTATTTGACATGCTCAAGAGCATGGTCCTGCCTTTTTAATACACATTGTGAAATAATTGCCCTGGTGGAAATCAGAAACATGCAATGTAATATATTAGTTTTACTCAATGATTCTTGAAAGGTGATACCTCAATTAACAAATCCTCAGGGAAAGAGGCCGTGTTGAAAAAAAATATGCTCCAATCTCCTTCATAAATCACGCCAGGCAGAACCGCCTCAGGCATTGGCAAGACAGAAAAAAACTTCTGAACAGAGTGGCTCTCAGCTCTGCCCAGATGCAAACAAACAGGGCACCCCTTGGCAAATTTATAAAATATTTCTAAGTTCTCTGTTTCTCCACCTTTCATCTTCTGTTACCCTTTAACAGAGTGCCTCTCCCCCTGGCTGCAGGAATCTGATGCCGTCTTCTTCTTTCTTCTCCTCCATCAGAAACTGGTTTTGTATCGCTTATATTTGTTGATTGATACACAGAATGTGAATTTAATGTGAATGAATTTTAATCGACGTGGTCAACCAAGTCCTCTGAATTCAAGCCTTTCCCAAGCTCTGAGAATCTCTGGACTCGGAACAGCTCACCCCAGTAGCCCAAGAATCTAGCTCAGTACCTGGCAGGCAAATATGCTTGTTGAATGAATCATGAAAGACTAGCTTCTTTTTCACTTGAAGGAATCCAAGCCAAAGGAGTAAGGGAGGGGAAGGCTTGGGTGGGATGGGAGAGTAGGGGCGGGGGGAAGTTTGGGGAGTGAGGGGATTGAAATACTAAAACATCTACTCTGAGAATATACCTGCCTCAGTTCCTCCAGGGTGTCTGATGGGAATATCAGAAGCGGGTGGCTTTCTCCTCCTTGTTCCCACACCCTAGCTTTTTGTGTCTCTGGAGAAAACAAGGAGAGAGTGTGACTCCTGGGGGCAGAGGTGCTTGTACCTCTTTTTATAGTTATTTTGCTCAGCTATATAACTTGTTGAGTCCAGGGTAAAATGAAAACGAGGGACCCCTTTTTGAAAAATTATTAAGAATTTCACACCTTTCATACACAAGTGAGATTGACAGAAAAAAAAAAAAACTAAAAAAGAATTTCATGCCCTCAGACACTGCTGGTGGGAGTGCAAAATGATGCAGCCACTTTGGAAAATAGTCTGGCAGCTCCTTAAAAAGTTGGAGTTACCATACGATCCAGCAACTCTGCACCTAGGTATAGACCTGAGGAAATCGAAAACACAAAAACTCCACACAAAAACTCATACAGGGATGTTCATAACAGCATTATTCATAATAGCCAAAACGTAGAAACATCTTAAATGTCCATCCATTGGTGAATTATAAACAAAATGTGGCATGCAATGGATATATTATATACAGTATATTCATACAATGGAATATTATTCAGCAATAAAAATGAATGAAGTACTACAGAATGGATGTACTCTGAAAACATGATGCTAAGAGAGAGAAACCTGATGCAAAAGGTTAGATCGTATATAATTTCTTCTATATGAAATGCCCAGAATTGGCAAACCCATAGAAACCAATAGTAAATTACTGGTTGCCAGGGCCTAGGGAAGGGGGAATAGGGAATGACCGCTGATGGGCACAGGGTTTCCATTTGGGGTGATGAAAACGTTTTGGAATTAGAGAGTGGTGATTGCTGCACAGCCTTGTGAATATACTAAAAAAAGATGAATTGCACACTTTAAAAGGTGATTTTATGGTATATGAATTATATCTCAATAAAAACATGATGAAGAATTTCAAGACAGCAGCAGCAGGCGTAAAGCAGGCATGGAGCCCCTCTGGGTTGAGGTTTCTGTGCAGGGGTGTGGGCTGGTGCAGCCAACCCTGCCTTCGGTCTCTCAGCCCTCTCTCCCTGTGCCTCCTCCCTTGCTAACCCGTGTTGCATCTTGTCTCCCACATTGCATGCTGTGTTGGTTGTGGCATATAAAGCAGTTGAGGATAGAGTGGCCAACCTTCCTGGTTTGCCAGGCGCCGAGGGATTTCCAGGGAGCTGGGCTTTTCAATGCTGAAACTGGGAAAATCCCAGGCAAATCAGGAGGAGTTGGTCGGCCTAGTGGTACAGAAGCTTTATTTTACACTGTAATTTCTCCTAATTGAAATCCGAAACACATCTCTAGGCCTCTAATTTCTACCATTGATGACGGCCATGTGGTGCGTAGCATTGGTCCCAGGCCCCTCTAATCACCTTGGATGTTCGGTAGAAATGCAGAATCTCAAGCCCCTCCCAGGTTTATTGAATCAGAACTTGCACTGTATTAATAAGATCCCTAAGTGACTTACAAGCACTTTACAACTCTGTGCCCTGATGTAGAGGACAGATGATGGCTGAGCAGACAAGAGATCTGGGCTCTGATCCTGGAGTTGCACTAGTTGGCTGTGCAGATTCAGATAAGTTGCTTAACCTCTCTGGGCCTCAGTGTCTTCACCCGTGAAACACAGTGGACACATAAGTGTTTGTTAAATGCATCTGGGTTTGAACAACCCGGATCTACCTAACTCCCAAATCAGACTACTCTGCTTTGGTCATTTACTAGCTTGGTAACTTTAATCAAATGACTTTCAGTTTTCTCATGAGGCATGATGGTGGGGAGTAAGATAAACAGCATTTTCAAAGTCCCTGGCTCAGGGGAGACTCTCATTAAATGGTAAGCATTATATTTTGTGTTATTTAGAAGCTAAGCTTCTGATAAGACTGTGCCATTAGATACATTTTCATTTAAAAAGAGTTGGATCTGAATATCTTTTCGTAATTGCAGGAATCCTTGTGTCTGGAGTTTGAAGAGCACATAGACTCTTAGTGTTGTATGGGAGAATGTATTTAACTTCAGATTTCTTCTTATTTAGATGATTTTAGCTCAAAGCTTCCCTAAAAATTCAGTCTGCATCTACCTAACATAGATCTTGTATCTTAGGATAGAGCCATCAGTTACAAAGAAAATATCAAGAAAAATGTCTGCGAACAGGATACATCAATATGGTTTCCATGGTTAAGCAAATAAAGCTTTGATCTTTGAGAAACAATGGTGACAGAGGTTCAGAGCTTGAGGTTTTCTATGCAGGTTGGATTTTACCAGTTAGCCGAGGTATATGACAGTTCTGAGTCTCCAAGGTCTTTGTTGGATATTTTTCGTTGTTCTTTGGTCCCAGTGCTCTGTCAGATTTACATGTTGGAGATATAATTAGCCATAGACTGATTGCAAAGAATCAGCCATAATTTAAAAATATGAATTAACATAAAATGGCAAGCATTAAAAGTTAATGCTAACATGATGCTCATTTATTTTTGCATCCAAATGAGCCTTATTAAGTTAGTTAGTCCATCTAAACATCTGGATATGCTAAGTTGTGATAACAATTTCTTATATTCTAAACTCTGATAATGCTTTTGAAAAGTACAGGTCCAGTCTGCTGTTGAGAATCAGTTTTCAGTTTCTTCTGTGACTTGGTTTTAACTGACACCACTGCACAGTTTGGTATATTAAAGTCCAGAATGTTTTCTAAAGGGCTTTCTAATGGAAATTATATTTTGACTGCCAATGCCCTGTGGTTTCCTTCACTGTCAGCACGATCAATAGCTTTGGGCAGGTGGATGGAGTGTAGACGGGGATGGAATGTGTGGAAAAGCAGCAGGCCTGTGAGATGTGGCCTTAAATAAGCAAATCAAGCCAATTGGCTTAGAATTATGATGGTTGGCTTTCTAATGCATATTCAGGGAAGGCTGAAAAAATGTATGAAATTTAATTGTACCATAAAGCTGTCACCAGAAAATATATACTGAATATCAAGTAGGGTAGCACTTCTTCTTGAGAGTTAATCTGTGAACGTTAAAAAAAAAAAGTTTAAAGAATGTTATAGTTGAATAAGTAGTAGGAAGAAATAGGTGGTGCTAGGGACCAGTTTTTGGGACCAGAAAAAATATGCACAAACTCAAATATAATGGGAGAAGCATATGGGATATCTCATTGGCATTAGCAATTTCCCTATTGAATATGTAGAAAAATTTGGGAAGAAGAGGCTATCTTAACATTTTCTATGCCAAAAGTTTAAGGCAATATATCAACAATATTTAGATAACCATTAATTTTGTAATACTATATGCATTAGCATCAATGAATGGAGTTTTCTCCTTTATATTGAAAACACAGTGTTTCTATAAGTCAGATTGAAAATACCTGATACTTCATCTAGTAGAAGTTGCTTCTCAAACTTTAATATGCGTATGAATCACCCTCAAGGTCTTCTTAAAATGCAGATTTTTTTTTGCATTTTTTATGGAGATAAAATTTCATATAAATTTTGTAAAATTTCATATATTTTAATTTCATATAAAATTAATCATTAACCATTTTAAAGTGTACAATTGAGTGGCATTTAATATGTTTACAATGCTGTGCAACCATCATCTCTA